CACCAGGAGAGTGTGCGAAGGCGACTACTATATATACACGAAGAAATGAAAATCTACTGTGATGGTCCGATCATAATGAATGATACACCTACCGAAAGGTATTGCGAAAACTAACAGGATTGCATACCAAGACTCTAAGAAAATCAATTGGCTTGGGAGAGAGAGCGGTGAAAGTGAAAAAGTGAAAATTTCGAAATTTGGAGCTGTTGGGGCCGGTGGGGATAAATGCCCCCTCGAAATATTTTAATTGTATTCCTTTTGAAAATACCCGTCGAATGAGGGGTCATTTGTCAAAATCCGACGCTCCGTTCAAAAGTTATAGCCAAAATAAGATTTTCTTCGTCTTCCCAAAATGAAAATTTAATTATGTTTGTCAGTTTGTCAGTTTGTCAGTTTGTCCAAAACATGTTTTTTAAGTTTTGAAAATTTTATATGACGTTCATCACATCGATATAAAAAACTTTTGTTCCACGACTTTTGGAAAAACTCGCTAGTTTAGCGGGAAAACAGCTATAAATAGCTACATATCGGAAAGCCGTAACTTCTATACTACTAAAGCTACAGACTTGTGCTGCATCTCGTTTGAAAGGTATTTTTAAATGCTATAAACGCCTTCTATATGAAATTTGTGTAAATGTAATAGTTAAAAAAATATGAACAAAAGACAATCTTTGAAAATTTTTTTTTTAGCTTTTTTTTATTTTTCTCAAAAACGGCTCTAACGATTTTCTTTAAAACTTTAAACGGTATAGCCCTTGAGATTCCTTAAATTTTGGTATATAACACATTACTGTAAAAAGTCACGTTTAAAAGATATTTTTATACGAAAATAGCCACTTTTGCCAGGTCGAACAAATAACGCTCCCTGAGTATTGAATTTTGTGTGAGGGTATACGAACTGTATTTTTGGGTCATGGAATCAGTAAATTTGCACTTAAGAGTTCCATAAAAAAATCTTTTGTTCTACGACTTTTGGAAAAAGCCGCTACTTTAGCGGGAAAAAAGCTCAAAATAGCTAAATTTCGTTAGTTTGTAAGTTCTACACTACTAAAGGTACAGACATGTGCTATACCTCGTTTAAAAGGTATTTTGAAATACTTCAACGCCTTTTTAACTTAATTTGTTAAAATACAATAGTTTAAAAATTATGATTGACCAATTTAAATTTAAATGTATATATTAGCTCCTATGAGAGCAAATGTAAACAAACAAAAACTTCTGATATCAAATAAAAACACCTCTTAACGAGGTAAAAAACTAGTGACGACCGCACCTTCAACATACAAAAGTTCTGATATCAACATTTGTGACGAAAAATTATTACACTCGTCATTAAATAGACTTTCTAATCTTTTCTCATTCGTCACGCTGCAATAGAAAATGCCTGTAAAGGGAAAAAGGCTGGAATAGTTTGCTAGGGCGGGCCGAATGAGAAAATATTAGAAAGTCTATTTAATGACGAGTGTAATAATTTTTCGTCACAAATGTTGATATCAGAACTTTTGTATGTTGAAGGTGCGGTCGTCACTAGTTTTTTACCTCGTTAAGAGGTGTTTTTATTTGATTATAAAATTAACCTAGATGTACATATTTTACATATTTACAAAAAATATATTTTAAAATAGTTTTTCATAAAAAAAACAATATATTTCGTAAGAATCAAATCAAGTCTCCTTAAATAATTTTTCATTGGTTCCACTGTATTTATCCTTTCATTATTGAGGGAGGCTCCTCCTCCTTCTGCCCCACCCCCATCCCCTAACGGCGGTCAGTGTCCAGCTGACGCGCTTAATTAATTACGCGATTGTATTTGTGACTAACTGCTTACCTCCCTGCCCCATCTCAATCCCCACCCCCCCTTTCTTGGGCTCAAAGTTTTGTGGTAATGCAATCGCTTGTTTTGGTTGTAAGGAGTGGGGAGTGCGGGGGCAAGGACGTCCCGTCACTGGGGAGAAATTAATACCCACTTAAGCTTAACTGGACAGTCGCTGGCTCCGACTTCTTTCTCTGGCGGAGATTCTTCTTTATTTTTTGGCCAGCTGCCGATTCTTCTTCTTGTCGAAGGTGATTCACAATGCGCATAAATAAACGGTTCCAAGTATTCCGATATTTCAAGCCAATTTATTTTTGGATCTGACTCGACGTACTCTCTTTCCACCTTTTTAGTAATTTTCTTACTCCTGCAATTATCCTAGGTAGGTTAATATCCCCTCTATAATGCAGTCGCGTTTTCGAAAAATTATGAAGTAAAAAACGTTTTTATTACCAAAAATTACAATGTGCGAACGGAAAGAAAGGCGGCAAGCAGTGAAGGGGTCAATGGCAGTCGCAATGAAAGGATACACTGAGAGAAATGTAAACTCTATAAACCAGAATTTTCTCTTTAATTCTTTTAGGTTGTAAAACATTAAATATTCTGACATTATTTCGGAAGGGATCCTTTAAACTAGTTATAAGAACCTATAGCTACGTAATCCCAATTCCCTGTGCATTAATTTTGGAGGGGGATCCGAGGTTCCCCGGTTTCCAGCTGTCCTTCGGTCAGGCTGTTTTGGGATGGTTGGATAGTTGTGGGCCCGTCAGCAAATAAACACTCTAACCCCGCAACCAGAAAAAGGAAGCATAGCAGGAGGTTAATTTCATTAGAAATTCATATATTTTTTTTTTGTTTTTGGGCTCTCTATGTGGGTGATAGTCAAAGGGGGAGACTCTTTCGAAGGGCGTTGCTTAGACATGTGTAAATGTGAGCAATAAAAAATAAATTTCATATTTCCAGCTATGTTGTTGTCCTGCTCCTTTTAGTTGTTGTTGTTATTGTTGATGTTGCTGTGTTATTATTGTCGTAATTTGTTTATAACGGTATTTATGAAATGGTCACAAGTCAACGCGTTTCAGCAACAACAATAACAACTACAGGACTAACCCCAGAAAACACGCACCAGGACTACTCCCCACCCACTAAGCCCCCGTATCACCAATTATTCTTATTACGCCTATTACTACTTTTTTAACCACTTTCCATTGTTGTTGTGGTGTGGCTGTTTGGGTGTTTGGCTCTTTGGTCCTTCGGGTTCTCCCGTAGCTTTTGCTGACCTTTTATGTTAATCGCATTTGGCTTGTAACTTGGATTAAGGGAGTGAGAAAGAAAGAGAGAGAGCGAAGTCTTGTAGCCAGTAATTGATATGCGTCCTAATCATGCAATCCTTTGTTACCCCCCACCCACCTACCTCTAATATTTCCGCCCACTCGGAGGGAAAACAACTTCGACTTGTGGCTTGTTAGTTGTAGTGGAAGAAGTAATTACAAGCATTGCTGCTGGGTTGTATTAAGGCTCGATGACGTCAGGCCTCAATTAATGATCGGGTAAAGCAGGAATTGCCTGCCACATTTGCATAATTAAGCGGTGAATCATATCGGAAATTATCTGCAAGCGATAAAGCCTTAAATTAAGTTTAAGAATTAAGATTACCGTTATTTTATGTACTTTTAAAATAAAACATTTACTTCTATATCAGCGACTTTATAAACTTAGCCCATCTTAAGACTGAGTTTCAATTTCTTCACCCATCTCATCTCGAAACTGCGTCGCCGTTTCGGTCTCTCACAGATCTGGCATTTGCTGGCTAATTAATAAACTTTCACATATCTGATTTCGGAAATCTTTTCACTTGCAGCCGCTTGAATGGCTTTAAAATCTAACCGAAAATCGTTTTATGTAAATTATCGACGAAAGAAATGTCGAGAGACATACAAAAGTCGCAGATGAGTTGAGATGCCATGAGGAACGAGAAGTGGGGGATTTTTTGTTTATAATTTATTGCATTTTGATAGTTAGAGTTTAATTACAGCATTTCACTTTGCTGTTTTGAGGCAGTGAAAGTGCAAGTGGAATCGGTGGTTTTTTTTTCGGTACTACTGAACACAAAAGATTAACCTTTGACCTCCTGCCGCCCAGGTAGAAAATCTTGACCGAAACAGTTGCACTTTTTCGGCGGCTGGTCGTGACCCCTCTGGAAATCATAAAACAATAAATCTTCTTAATATCTTTCCTTGTTCTTAGACCCAAATGCTGTGGGCCTCTTTTCGCTGCTTCGGTTTTTTTTCCCTCTACTTCTCCGTTTCGTGGGCGTTCGTTTTCCTTTTCTTTTGCGTTTTTCTGGAAGAGTTTCTCACGTCCTTTGCCGCGGGAGGGGCGTGGCCATTACTCAAGTTTGTGGATTTGAAGTAATAACTCAGTGCGTCATAAAAATTTTAATTGCTTTGGGTTTCTTCTGTGCGAAAGCAGTTCGGGTAATTAACATTAACCCAAAAATGTCCAAAAAACAAAGCCGGAACAATGCAGAGCACCCACAGCAACAACAGCAGCAGCAACATGCCGCGAACAATGAGGCAATAAAAATTGCAGCGCATAATTTTCCACCACCGAACCCTTTTTTTCTGGATGTTGTTATTGCTGAAAATTTCCACGCGTATCAGTAATTAGTTTGGTTATTGTTACTCTTTTTTTTTTGTTTTTTGGTGGGGGTTGTTCGGGGTCAAAAGTGGGGAAATATTTGGTACTATCCCTTAATCACCCGATGTTTTGGTCCCCTGAGTAAAGGATCTTCTTAAACCAAGATTTATTCTGATTTTGATACAGGGACAAAGGGCAGACCGCCTTGTCAAGCTGGAAATTTATATATATTTGGGATCAAAAGGGCCAAAATCAACAGCAATTGTTGTAATGCTCATGGGCTCATGTGTGTGTATGTGTGAGTGCTAAGTGGGTGCAATTAGACCGTTGAACGAACAGGTAAACAGGTAACCCAAGTCGAGTCTTAGTCGGCCGATCTCTATATCGGCTTTGATCCCAATGCAACGAATTGAGCCACGCATCGAAAGGTGGCAATAAATTCTGATTGCAATTGACACTTTAATCGCAGGCCCAACGAATCGAGGGTGAATTCAAAATATCTTCTAATGGTCAACTGTTTTTCTATCTTTTTGTTCTTTTGTTGCAGCCACTGGCCTGGAGAGTCAAGGTTGTGCAGCTGAAGGGAGAAGAAGCAACTGCAGCAGCCGCATAAATTCCAAAAAAAATAATAGAAACTGTAGCGGATCTACAGCTGCATTTGTACCCTCTAAAACAGCAGCAACATCATCTGTAATCAAAAGCTTAGCCACATCATCGGAATCTTCTGGCACTGAGGCAGCAGCAACATTAACCAGCAGCAACATGTGAGTACCACTCAAATTTCCATTAAGTGGGGACTGGCCAAATCAATTCGCTAATTGAATGCCGCGCAATTGAAAAGCTTCTTAATGTTGTTAAATGTGAACGAGTTGGCATCCCTCGATGCGGCCCTCTGTTCCCCAACTCCCCGCACTTCTGACGAAGCCCCCCCGGTTAACAGTCTTAATAGAATCAAAGAGCGACGCAATATTACTTTTAATTTGGCGTAATTGTGCCGGTCTCAGTCTCCTCTAAGCTTCAAGACCCCACCCCTTGGTACCTCTATTTCCTATAAACTTACTCACCTCCCCCGGGAAGTGCACTGTAAGAAATATAGTTATATTTCAATTTGAAAGGAAAATTAAAAACAAGAGATAACGCTATAGTCGTGTACCTCGACTATCAGATACCCTTTACTCTGCTAAGGGAAGTGCGAGTGAGATGGAGATGTGCATGCAAAGCGACTGCTTGAATTCCATTATTTACTCATAACTTTTTAATGAATGATGCGACTTAAGCTATTTCTTCTATACTTCGATAGGTATTTATAAACACAACTAAACACTTCCCAAATCAGTTGCAACTTAAATTAAATTTAAGTTTAAATTCATTTCTTTCTGTGTACCTCCTCCCCCTTCGGCTTGTCCAGTTTGCGATACAGATTTACTTGTGTCTGTCGCTCTATGGCAACAATAAACAAGAGAGAACGCTATAGTCGGGTTGGTGTCCCGACTATCTAATACCCGTCACTCAGCTAAAGGAAGTGCGAACGCGGGTTGGTGTCCCGACTAATAATCGTAACTCAGCTAAAGGGAGTGCGAGGGAGATAGATATATGTAGATATTTTGATTGCGTATAACTTTTTAATGAATGGTCCGATTTGAAAAATGTCTTCTACATTTCGATAGGTATAAATATACACAACAAAATTGCATTTATACTTATCGGAAATCTTTAAGGATGTGGGCGCAGGACCCATTTTAAAATCGTTAATGGGCGATTGTGGGCGTTAGAGGGGGCGTGGCGCTCGGCTAAAATAAACTTGCGCTGCGTAGGAAGCCAAAGAATATGTGTGGGAAATCTCAACCTTCTAGCTTTTGTAGTTTCCGAGATCTCAGCGTTCATACAGACAGACAGACGGACAGACAGACGGACAGACGGACAGACGGACAGACGGACAGACGGACATGGCTAGATCGACTCGGCTAGTGACCCTGATCAAGAATATATATACTTTATGGGGTCGGAAACGCTTCCTTCTAGCTGTTACATACTTTTGCACGAATCTAGTATACCCTTTTACTCTACGAGTAACGGGTATAAAAATACATATTCGAATTGGTCAAAGCAAACGCCAAAAAAAAACCATATAGATAGGCAAGACTTTTGAGGGGTGGGTGGTTGGTTTGGGGGAATGGCAAACGATGGAATCAATTAACCAAATGGCGCGAGTACTCGAACGTCGGCTGACTTTTGCATTGGTTAATAACCGCTTGCAAAAACAGAAAAACAAACGACAGACGTATAAATAGAGAATTGAAATCAAAATCAAAAATATATCTGAGCTGCTCACACACACACATGCACATGGTCGGCATCAAAAGGGGTGCCATCCCCCAACCCCCTCTACACTCGCCCCTCATTCCACAATTTCAAAGCAAAACCCGCAGTCCAAAAATTTCTGTGAGAAGCTTCAATTGTCTGCACTTGAGTTCAATTTCTGTACGGTCGCGTTGGCTACCCAAAACCCAAAATGCTTTTAAAGCTCGCCTGCAGAGCAGAGAATCGCCGCGTGGAGGGGATGAGGGAGATATTTTCGTCATAACTATAAATTTTATTGAGATTCAAATGGTCTGCGTACAAATTTAGACACAATTATTACTTACTTCAATGACGCCAGCCAGTGGAATGGGGCAAGAACTGAGGGCTTCGTATTTCTAAGGGGGAAATTCACCCCATGGGGTAGTTTCAGCTCCCAGTTGTTGGAGTATCGGCATTTTAATATTGAATTTAAAACGAAATTTGTAAGAACAAAATATGATGTTTCATTTTATAATGATTGTAAAATGTATTTATATTTTATTTATTTCAGTTTGTTTAGCAATATATAAATATTGCCATTCAAAGGAATTTGTAGTAGTAGTTCTCTAGCATATGTCAAAACAATCCCATTTGCACAACCACCCAACCACCCACCACCTTTTCCACTTAATAGACAGTTCGTCAAATGACAATTACAACGACTTAATTACTTTTAATAAAGACGTCCGTATGTAAGCAAGCGAACAGAGAAACTACAGCTCTTCATTAGCGAAAAAATATACTCGGGCATTTTTGCATAATGCCTCATTATGCTTAGCCCAGAAAAAAAGGGGTAGTGGGTGGGGATGGGGATTGGGGGTGCTCGCCTTAATACATACAAATTGGAAATTGATGAATTTTTCCGGTATGGTGTCCGTCCTCGGCTCTCAAACAAAATGCAGCTGGCCCCTTGGGCCGAGAGTCTATCGCACTCGAATATCAATTAGTGCGGGTGGGGGTGGGATTACCATCGATCGATCGGTCGATGGATCGTTCGATCTCCAGATCGATCTAACGAACAATCAACGGCAATTGCTGCCGAAGGGAAATTACTAATAATAATGACTTTAATTGAATATTGCGCACTTCATTCACCCGCCGTTTCAAATTTGAATCTACGAAACGAAAAAAAAAGAAAAGGGGGGCAGCAGCACAGCATATTATCCATTATAAAGTTCCAATCGACCATAAACACTTGGAAGCAGAGGTGTACAGGGGATCGATCCGTGGCAATGTCACAACGTGCTTTATATTTGGATTCTCAAACAACCGGTAATGAAGTTCGCCGGATTCGCAGGCAGCCGAGTACTCATACTCACTCAGTTTCCCGCCCCCGAAACGATTCAAGCATGAAAGCAATTTTTAATTTATTTTGGTTGAGCGCTTCACTTTTTCCTAAAATTATGACATAATAGCATCGCAGGCACCGAGCCACCGAGGAACCAGCGAACCACCTAATAATGTCATATGGAAATTTACGAGTACCGAACCCGATCCCAAAATCCCGTGCGGGGGAGCTGCGACTCATCGAGGGGGCGAAGGGGACGGGGTGTGAACACCTCGGCAGTGTGGGAAATATATATTTGGATGCCGATGCCGATGTCGATGGCAAACACCTTCCGCTTCACAAATCAGCAGTGTGTGCTTCGATTACTTCGATACGATGCGATACGATACCTATACCTATAGCTTGAGTTCAGGACCGCTGACCAGTTGTCAGTTGGCTAAGGCTAATGTTATAATTAACCTGACCACCGCCGTCAACGCCAGTCACATATCGATCCATCAGTTGACCCCCGAACCCAATCAAAGCCGCTTGGCCGGATAATCCCGGCTGGAGCTGAAAATCGGATTGACACTTTCGGTTGGGAAACGGCAATAGATTGCCTTTCGATAAGTGAAAACCAAGAATGAGGGTCTCTTTAACCAACATTTTAGTACAAGCACTCAAGACTTACTTTCATAATTAAGTTTTCGTGATGGTAATATATTAAAATTAAGTTTTTTAGGTAGAACCGATACACAAATATTTTTATACCCTTGCAGAGGGTATTATAATTTTGGTCAGAAGTTTGTAACGCAGTGAAGGAGACGTTTCCGACCCCATAAAGTATATATATTCTTGATCAGGATCAATAGGGGAGTCGATATAGCCATGTCCGTCTGTCCGTCTGTATGTCTGTTTCAATACCGTTTGCGAGCTCAGTTTAAAAGCTAGCGCCTTGAAACTTTCACAGTCATCCTAAAACATGTGTACGCAGATCAAGTTTGAAAGCCGACCCGATCGGACGTCTATATCCTATAGCTCCCATAGGAACAATCGGATATAGCTTTCACAAAAATGAAGATATTTCGCTCAGTGTAAGAGCTATTGGCATGAATCTTTCCAAATCGTATTTTTTTGTGCGTACCTTGATCAGGGTAAAAGCGCGTGCCGATCGGACGTCTATATCTTATAGCTCCCATAGGAACAATAGGGTGAAATCGGTCAAAATTTGACGTTTTTCAGGATATTTCGCGCAAAATATTAGCTATTCCCATGAAACTTTCCAAATCGTATTTTTTGTGCGTACCTTCATTAGGGTAAACGCGCGTGCCGATCGGGCGTCAATATCCTATAGCTCCCATAGGAACAATAGGGTGAAAAATTTTAAAATTTTATTTTTTCAATTATAAAATATTTTGTTGTTTATTAATTCATGTTGCTAGTCTAGTCAAGTTTTAATTCGTAAAATCTGCAAGGGTATTAAAACTTCGGCTTGCCAAAGTTAGCTTCCGTCCTCGTTTTATTTTAAAACATGAATTAAAATAATAGGATTCTTCCAGAAATTGTGTCAAACTAGTTAATTTCTTATAGATTTTCATAATAATTTGATAACGCCCAGGGGCTTTAATTGAATTGCCCACATATCTGAATCTGAATCGGCTCTAAAAACAATTTAGATGGAATACCGTGGGCGAGAGAGATGGTCTAAGTATGTAAACACGATCATTAAATAAAGCATTGAAAACGAACAAGAAACGAAACAATAAAACGAGCACATAGCATACAGTTCGAAAGAGGGAGAGAGAGGCAGATAGATAAAATAGAAAACGGAGGAGAGGAAAAGGAGACAAGTTAACCAATGAAATAAACGCAAATTTAATGACAACAAACGCGCCACGCACAACTTGGCCAATACGCGTTTTCCATTATGGCCAGCCAGCCAGCCGAAGCACTTTACAACGAGAGATCGAATCGGCCAAGAGCGAAAAAAACAAACAAACAGACGAAAAAACAACGTCAGAAAACGAAAACTACAAAATGGAATACATAATACAGATAAAAGCCAAATAGTGAACAATGAATTAAATGTTATAAGATGTAGATACGACGCACACTTGCGGCCCAAGATACATTTGTATCTGTATCTGTATCTGGAGACGAACGATCCGCTGGCT